GTGTGAGATTGTGTGGAGCAATGTTTTAAAATGTTAGAATTGTGTGCAGTCGATTGCCGTGAATTTTCTTATGCGTATATTCAGATACCTGTGTTAAATTTCCCAGTTGATTTGTGTTGTCAAAGCTACTGATTGTAGATTATGGTTTTCAAAGATTACTACGCAACTCTGGCAGACTAGCGACTGGGTGATGCTACTGAACATCCCATCCTCCATAATCTTTCTTCAAAAACACATAAATGTGCGTACTATATGCCTTTAAAAAATCCACCGCATTGTTTTTTGTTTGTATGTTGTTATTTTTTTAACTAATTTTTTGCACCTGAATTCTTTTTCCTTTGTGGCAATGATAGTGAAAGCGTTTTTGTGCGAGGAAAGAATGTTTGAGTTTTTATAGTTCGAATGCTCGAAAGAAAGAAAAATCCGTAAGCCACATTGTCGTATAAATGTATTTACCACGATAAATAATACAACCCTTGTAATTTTAGGCCCTCTCGACATAAACACTGCCAGATGTCATCTCTCATGATGTGTTAATTTATATCACACTAAAAAAAAATAATTAAAAAAAAAAAAGATTAAATCTTAGATGCATATGCCCCCAAGATTAAATCTTAGATGCATATGCCCCCAAGATTAAATCTTAGATGCATATGCCCCCAAGATTAAATCTTAGATGCATATGCCCCCAAGATTAAATCTTAGATGCATATGCCCCCAAGATTAAATCTTAGATGCATATGCCCCCAAGATTAAATCTTAGATGCATATGCCCCCAAGATTAAATCTTAGATGCATATGCCCCCAAGATTAAATCTTAGATGCATATGCCCCCAAGATTAAATCTTAGATGCATATGCCCCCAAGATTAAATCTTAGATGCATATGCCCCCAAGATTAAATCTTAGATGCATATGCCCCCAAGATTAAATCTTAGATGCATATGCCCCCAAGATTAAATCTTAGATGCATATGCCCCCAAGATTAAATCTTAGATGCATATGCCCCCAAGATTAAATCTTAGATGCATATGCCCCCAAGATTAAATCTTAGATGCATATGCCCCCAAGATTAAATCTTAGATGCATATGNTTTTTTTTTTTTTTTTCTTTTTTTTTTTTAATATTTTTTTTAATAAATAAGGGGAAGCCACTTACAATTGGTAGTGTAAGGGACGTAATTTTTTTTTTTCTTTTACAAGTATCGATCAGTCAATGTGTTGGTTGTGTTGATCAGTCCTTGACTCTTTCAAGTTTTTATTAGTGACAGTCAACGTGTTGAGCCCGTGTCCACTTGCAGCACACGACAAACACGCTCAGTTGGACACACACACACACACGGCCTCAAGGTTTTTGTTTTGGTTTTTTTGAGTTTCATCGGTTCTCCGAAGCGGATAACGCCTTCATGCATCTGTTTCATCGCCGGTGTGATCTTAAGCGGGTGTGTTGTTTTCAGAACCGCTGGAGTGTCTTTGTGGTCAGGCTCTGCACCCAGTTATTGACGCGTGGTGAAGTGTTGAAGACTTTGCTTCTGAATGAGTTCGTCCTGCACGGAGCCGATTCAGATCTGCTGTTTATTTTTTATTTTTTTTTTTGCCAAGAGTATTCGGGTGACGAGAGTATATGCAAAAATCTTCGGTTTCTGCGTTTACAGACATTGTAAATCCGACTTTTCGGGGGACATGAGTATCTTCTGGAACGACTCGCTCATTTTGTTTAAAGAAGTTTAATTCCCAGTTAGAGTGCAACGCCACGCAATACTACATTAAATTCTTATCGGACACCTGCGTTTGTATAATTGGGATTTGAAGGGATTAAAAACAACACATGATTTACTCCGCTTTTTGGTGTATGACGCTGTCCCCCCCCCTCCCCCTACCCCCCACCCCACTCACACACCTTGTGGGTTCAAAATGAATGGCAGAATTCCGTTTGGTCAAATAATTGGGAGGCTGAAGTGTGGTGTTTGTTATGATATCAAAGATAATCAGTCAAAGACAGTTTTTAATTTTCCTTTTCTCTGCTTTAGTTTCTCCTGGTTTTTGCCATATAGCCCATTCCAGACCCTGTTTATCCCCAAACTCTTGAATTCGAACAACATCATCACAAAATAGTTCAATAAATTATCTTAATATTAAAAAATAAACATACAGTAGATATAATGTATAAACCTCAAAATCGTACATTGTACGCGAAAATCGTAAGAGTAAACAGGTCTGCCATTCCCACATTTCGTTCCATTTATCTCTTTTTGAGCTACATCCGTGTGTTGTTTTTTTTTAAAACCCAGTTCATTGTCCTTCTTGCCGTTTCTCTCAATCATCGAGCCGATCAGACTACTCCATTTGTTCCACGGCCTTCCTGTCTTTCTGGCAACCCGTGGGTTCCACGACATAGACACGCTGTCTTTAGTTCCGTTTTTTTAGAAAGATCCGTTCGACTCCCCCATTTTGTACCACCCCCCCCCCCCCAAACCCCCCCCCCCCCAAAAAAAAAAAACAACAACAGAAAACCCCGGATTATTTTCTATGAATCTCTGCTCCAAAATTAATGATTAGAGTCTTGCCTGAAACATTTCACCAACTATTTTTATTGGTCGTTCAACAAATTTAAAAATAGTTCAACCAAAAACTTGCAACAAAACTTAGTGGCCAAAGTACGCATCACTTCATGACTTGACCAATGCTCATAGGCGTGCGTGGCTTCAAGAATCTCATCACCTCTGCAGGGAGGTCGTTGGAAACATTTCACTTCCTGTAGGACTTCCTGTAGGACTTTCTGTAGGACTTCATGTAGGGCTTCATGTAGGACTTCATGCAGGACTTCATGTAGGACTTTGTGTAGGACTTATGTAGGACTTATGTAGGACTTATGTAGGACTTCCGGTAGGACTTCCGGTAGGACTTCTGTAGGACATCCTGTAGGACTTCATGTAGAACTTCATGTAGCACTTCCGGTTGGACTTCTGTAGGACATCATGTAGGACTTCACGTAGGACTTTCTGTAGGAATTTCGTGTAGGACTTCATGTAGGACTTCATGTAGGACTTCATGTAGGACTTCCTTCTATAGGGTATACAAAGTCATGACTGTAACGTGGTTGATGTCAGGATGCGATGGCACAGAAAATGAATGAGTTAGCAATCAATCTTTTAAGCACCGGTTCACTTGGATGAGTGTGTCTTGTGATGGCGTTAGTGGGCATAGCTCCACGCAATGGCGGACACTTGTTTATATCAGGAAAGAAAAAAGAAGTAGAGAGACGGAGAGAGAGAGAGAGAGAGAGACGGAGAGAGAGAAAGAGAGAGAGAGAGAGAGAGAGAGAGAAGGGGGGAGGGGGAGAAAAGAACTAAAATACATTTCAAAATGAACCAGCAGGACAGCAATGGCAACATGACAGCGTGACAGCATGACTTAATGAAACATGGCAGCATGACAGAATGACAACTGACAGCGTGACAACATAACAAAATGCAACATAACAGCGTGACGGCATGACAGAATGACAACGTGACAGCGTGACAGCATGACAGAATGACAACGTGACAGCGTGACAGCAATAACAAAATGCAACATGACATCATGACCGAATGGCAACGTGACAGCGTGACAGCATGACATAATGACAACGTAACAGTGTGACAGCGTGACAGAATGACACCGTGACAACGTGATAGCATGACCGTAGTCGCAAGGGTTTCAGTTTGAACGTACGACTTCAATACAGTTATTTATTTTATTGCTTAAAGTGTCCCCAAAAATCTTTGATCCAAAAAAAAAAATCATATCAAAATTTTTTATACGGTAAAATGAAACTTGTTGCAACAAAAGTTGTTGAAAACTTGTTCTAAATATTTTTTTTTAAAATCAGTGTTCACTATTTTTAGGGAAAAGAGGGTTGTTTTTTTTTTTTTTTTTTTTTTTTTTTTTTTTTTTTTTTTTTTTTTTTTTTTTGTTTGTTTTTTTTTTTTTTTTTTTTTTTTTTTTTTTTTTTTTTTTTTTTTTTTTGGGGGGGGGAGAGCTTTTTTCAAGACTTTCACATTTTGTGGATATCATGAAAACAAAGACAATGATTTCAATTGGCTTTCAATTTCACTTTGATATAAGTTTTTTTTATTCGGTATTTCATTTTGATATAAGTTTTGTTGATTCGGTATTTTATTTTGATACAAGTTTTTTGTTGATTCGGTATTTTATTTTGATATAAGTTTTTTTGATTCAGTATTTTATTTTGATAAAGGTTTTTTGATTCAGTGTTTTATTTTGACATAAGCTTTTTTTATTCGGTTTTTCATTTTTAAATCAGTTTTTTGATTCGGTATTTGATTTTTGTTACAGATTTGTTTTTTTTTTTTTTTTTTTTTTTTGTTTGAAAAAAAAAAAAAAATTTTTTTTTTTTTTTTTTTTTTTTTTTTTTTTTTTTTTTTTTTTTTTTTTTTTTTTTTTTTTTTTTTTTTTTTTTTTTTTTTTTTTTTTTTTTTTTTTTTGATTCGCTATTTTATCATTTAATACACAAAGGAGATAGCTATAGTTCACCTTACCATTTGATTTTTATTGGGCTTGAAATTTCATTTCCCTTCACTGGACTCTCTTATCAGATGTTTGCTCAACCTAAAGATCAGCGGTTGTTTTCATTGTGCAGAGTCCCATCTTTATTTGGATGTCCTTATAGTCAAGCAGATCTTGCGTCTATATAAACAAAACAAAAACCAAAAAAAAAAAAAAACACAGATAAGTTTTTGAAGTTCGGTATCAGATAAGTTTTAAATAATGAATGACGTCAATACCGGAGTCACTGTGAGGATATTTCATTTTTAAGCTTTGAGCGTAACTGCTGGAAACTCCGCCTGGGGACGCGGCTATTGGGATATAAGGGATATTCTGACTACACGCTGTTCCTCAACACACGGACTTGGGGTGAGTGTTCTGGACTTTCGTGCATGTATGTGTCTGTGTGACGGGGCTTTTCGCTTAAGATCACGTCAATGGCCAGAGTGGACAAATGTTCGTGAGTCGCCGGGCCGCAGATGGATTACTTGTGTTCTCGGGACAAAAGGTGAAGGACAGAATGAGTTTGGCGAAAAAGAGAAAAACTGATGATTCCTCAGGTAAGGTGCTAAAAATTTGATGGATTTCGATTTTTTTTTTGAGTTTAAAAAGAAACTAGATTTAAATTAACCTTGACAAGGTTTGAAGTGTGTGTGCAGATGGGGGCAGACACAGGGGGCGGGATTGTATATCATAGATAAGAGGCTGGCTTGTCTAAATCAAGGTCAAGGTCAAGTTTAAGGACGTGTGTCGTTCAGGTCACGTGTCGACCCAGAACTTGACACATGCACATGTCAGAAAACTGGCAAAAGTGATAAACCAACGTAATCATAATAATACATGATGAAGATGAAGTGTAGTTTTTGAAAAATTCAGTGAGATGTACTGAAGTCTACGGAGTAACAGGTTCCTATATATATATATCGGAAAACTTAAATAAGGTGGGGACTTGATTATAGGATTGAAGTTGGAACATATTTTGATGGCTCTGTAGAAGAATCAGGATTCTGAAGCCAGCGCGCCCCACACCCCACCCCGGAAAACATATTGTCAAAGTAAGTTTAACCGGCTTCACAGCATCGATTGGTGTTCTATCTACATTAAACCTAGCCAGCTAGCTTACCGTCGGACAGCTGTCCGAATGTCGGTACCTGGTAATACACGAACAACATTGAAACATTTCATCACCCCTACCCTATCACAACAGGATATCTTTGCCGGTCATTGGAGGGAGGGGGGGAGGCGAGGACAGGCAAATGGACTGCACTAGTAAAGAGTTTCCAGGAATACAGGAATAATTAAGTTTTAGAACCTTCGTCAAATAAAAGTTCATGTTCGTACAGAGTGACTCCAGATGTGTTTCAAGGACAACTGAAGACTATGGGTAGGGGAGAAAAGGGGGATAATGTCACATTCAAAACGTCATGTAGCGCCAAATGATCTATTATCTGCAAAAATACAAAGAGCATAATTTTCATCTCAATGCTTAATTTTTTATCAATGTTTTTGTCGTGTTACGTTTTATGTGGGCATCTCATAGAATGTGTTGTTGGAGATACCATATTACAAGGTATCTGATCTCATAGAATGTGCTGGTGGAGATACCATATTACAAGGTATCTGATCTCATAGAATGTGCTGGTGGAGATACCATATTACAAGGTATCTGATCTGTTGGTGGAGATATCATACAACAGGGTATCTAATCTCATAGAATGTGTTGATGGAGATACCATATTACATGGTATTTGATCTCATAGAATGCGTTTGTGGAAACACCATACTACAGGGTATTTCATCTTACAGAATATATTGTTGAAGATATCATACAACACGGTATTTGATCTCGTAGAATGTTTTGTTGAAGTTACCATACAACTGGGTAGTTGATAAATTTAAGCACAAATTTTTAACCCAAGACCAAACAGCCATGTGTTGTTACCAGTAAAAGGATAATTGCATTTGAAGATAACCTTTTGCTTGTTGGGGGATTAAAACTCGTATCTTATATCAATCAATATAATTCTTTTTGTATTGAATTGTTTCTTTAAAAATACCGCAAGTGCTTTCGGTGCGCAATATTTCCTTTTGCTGTACGGAAATAGTCTGAGTTTATTTATAATGTAACAAACCTGCGGCGCTTATGGGGGGTGGGGAATCAGAATATAAAATAAAAATCTGTAAAAAACACAACATCACTTACTCTCTCAGGTATGCAGATTGAGTTTGCTCATACAGTGCGAGACCTGGGTGTCTATTTAGACATAACACTTACTATGGAAAATCATATTAACATGCTTTGCAAGGCAATTTTCCTAGAGCTGCGCAGGATTAGTCATATCAGACCTTTCTTAACGTTAGATGCATCAAAGAGGCTGATGTCTGCATTTGTGCTATCACGCATGGACTACTGCAATGCTCTCATGGTGGGTCTCCCAGCTACGCTCCTGGATAAAATTCAAAGAGCACATAATAATGCGGCTCGCATTGTTCTTCACAAACGCAAATTAGACCATGGTAAAACACTTCTGAGAGAGCTGCACTGGCTGCCGGTCCGCGCTCGCATAGAGTACAAATTGCAACTTTGTGCTACCGCTGCTTACATGACCCGGCGCCATCATATCTCAAAGCACTCATGACGCCTTATGTACCCACTGGTGAGCTCAGCTCATCCGATAGTGGCAAAATATCGATACCTTGTGTTCGCCTTGAGACTAACTGAAAGCGCACTTTTGCATTTGCCGGCCCAACAATTTGGAACACCCTTCCAGTCGCTCTCAGAAACAGCCAGACACTGGAGTCCTTTAAAACCGATTTAAAAACAAATCTATTTCGCCAACACCTTCTGGGGTGTTGCTATCTACCATCTTTTTCAGTTAATGTATATTGGCCTGTGTTGCTTATAGTTGAAACGGGATGAAAGGCTTTGACTTGGTATGCTCGTATGTAGTTTTATATTATTGCGTCTGTTTTTTTTACTGTGGTAAATTTTAGATTGATTTTATTTCTCTTTATAATGTGGTTGACTTTGTACCACGATTTGAGCTTTTGGGGATGAAGCGTGTTTTTCAAATAAACTTTATTATTATTATTTTTTTAAAGTGTTCGGTGACGTACATCGGGGGAGTGGGGGTAGGACTAATTTGAATTCTTATGAAGTGCGTTACTCAAATGCATGTTTGGTCAAGTAACTTTTGTAGATGGGAAGTTCACGCATCGGCGACGCCCTTGGTTTGGTGGGTTATAACCAGTTGTACAATGTTTCCGTTTCCGAATAAGAAACATTCTGAAAGAATTCAGTTTTTATTGTAGAAAATTACTTGTGTAAAAAAAAAAAAATACGCACATCTTTGAACTGCTGGGTACAGAGTGGTCCAGACCAAGACTTACTAAACATGCAGTTACAATGGAAGCACAAGAGATTTGTTGTTATGTAATAGGAGTATAAGGGAAATAAGATATTAAATGCGTTACGAGTTTGCGACCTCTTTAATCTGTTTTCTCATAAAACCCTTTCGTGGGCTCTTAACTTTGAAAATACAAAATTTCACTCTGTGTAGAGTGAAAATAAATCATTGACACATTTTCCAGAAAAATAGGATTTTCAGATTATGAAATGAAGCTTTATGGCGGTCTCTTTAGAAAAGTGAACTCTTGGGTTTTTGAGCTCCCAATTGTAGCTTGTTTGGTCCATGCACATTGAATTGCTTGTTTTGTCTATGTACATTGAATTGCTTGTTTTGACCGTGTGTATTGAATTACTTGTTTTGTCCATGTGCATTGAATTGCTTGTTTTGACCGTGTGTATTGAATTGCCTATTTTGTCTATGTACATTGAATTGCTTGTTTTGACCGTATGTATTGAATTGCTTGTTTTGTCCATGTGCATTGAATTGCTTGTTGTGACCGTGTGTATTGAATTGCTTCTTTTGTCTATGTACATTGAATTGCTTGTTTTGACCGAATGTATTGAAATGCTTGTTTTGTCCATGTGCATTGAATTTGCTTGTTTTGACCGTGTGTATTGAATTGCTTATTTTGTCTATGTAAATTGAATTGCTTGTTTTGACCGTATGTATTGAATTGCTTGTTTTGACCACGTGCATTGAATTACGTGTTTCATGTTACGCAGATCTATCGCCGGACCTAGTGGCGCAGTACCTCAGACAGAACCCGGAAGTGCTCGACCAGTACGTCGCCAGCAATGTCAGCGCAGAGAGGATAGACAAGTGGCTTCAGGCCCGACCAGTTGTTCCGTATTCTAGACATTTTAATTCCCAGTCTCATACGCCAACTCTAAATGGTAAGAACAAAAACATGTGGGCTCTAAACGCCGCTGTTCATTCTTTGCTCTATGCAAAACATTCATTGTTCATTTTGTTTTTGTTAAAGGGACTTTCAATTTAAGTGGAAAGCCACACCAGCTGTATAAGTGTGTCACCATCATTACCCGCTCGTTATTAAAGATCTTGAGAGTATTTTTGGTTTAATTGGGCGCATGACACCGCCTCATATTATTTCCACGCCTCCATTTTTCATTCTCTATAACAGCGGTTCTCAACCTGTGTTTTGTGACCCCTAGGGGAGTGGGGGGAGGGGTTTCTAACGACCCTAACACAGGGGGTGCGTAAGACCATCGGAAAAAAACACATATTTATGAAGAAGCCACGAAAATAATTGTATGGTTGGGGGGTCACTACAACATGAGGAACTGTGTTAAAGTGTCACGGCATTCGGGAGGTTGAGAACCATTGCTCTATCATCTTCCTGTTTCTTTATTTTTAACTTTATATTAAAAAATCCCATAATTTTTTATCGTTTGTTATTTCTATTTTTTAATGACGGTTCTCATTTTAGATTTTTTTTATATTTATAAACATCCTTTCATAAAATATTCTCACTTGTCAAGTTAAAAATAAACCTTGAAATGATAGTTGTATCATATGCAAGCCCCCCTCCCCCACATCCACTGGGGCCAAACGATCATTGTATCTGACCTAAGGTATTGCAATTCGCCACGATATATATGTCTGCAGTATCTACTTTATTTACGTCATGACACCATAAACTAATACGCTAACTCCAAAGAGTTTTCTCTTACACCTGTCTTATTCTCCACAGGTGAACACACGCCGGAAAAAAGAGTTGCATTGTCCAAATGGAAAGTAAGGATTAGAGTTTATCCTGGATTATCCTTTTTTTTTTTTTTTAAATTTAAACTGATAACGAATCACCATTACTATGAGTTAAAATGTATAAAAAAATTATTATTATCATCTCTTAATATTCTAATGGCCTCCCATCTTTTACACTTTTTTTTTTTTTTTTTAAATTTAAACTGATAACGAATCACCATTACTATGAGTTAAAATGTATAAAAAAATTATTATTATCATCTCTTAATATTCTAATGGCCCACCAGCTTTTACACCACCGATTTATTCCACCAAATATTTCATTAAAACAAATTTAAATATTACGCACCAAACGCACTTGCGATATTTTTAAAAAAAGGAATCTCATTTAGCGCACTTATCGGGAATTTTATTTGATCATATTAGAGGCATATTTCATTTATCTTCCCCTTGAAAAAAAAAAGGAAAAACTTATTTTGGGGGGCTGGGATTGGGTAGGTGGGGGGGGGGGGCTGAACATTTGCTAGAATATGTTGTCATCGGCAATGATTCTATATGCCAGGTTTCAGCTCGATAATTTGACGGCAAAGGGGTCATTGAGCCGTCCGAAGATTTTGCTCTAAACAATTAAAAGTGAATGAAAAGAATTTAAAAAAAAAAAAGTTAATCTCTAATTGTCGACAACAAAAATAAATTTAATGAAAGGATGAGCTTCTTAGCTTAGCTGTTCGTGTTAGGGTTAGGGTTAGGGTTAGGGGAGGTAATTGTTTCTTACATATTTTGTATAAATTATTAGCAAAATATTCTATTCAATGTATATTTAGATAGAAGCTTTTCTTGTCACACAATGGCGGTAACAAGATTACATATTCTAAGATTACTTCAAGTTAAAAAGACGCTTATCTAAAAGAGAATGACTTGGGTTTTTCTTTCCAGACCAGACTTCAAACCAGCAAAGGTCGCGTGCTGCAGGAGCTGTCCAAAGAGTTCCACCACACGAGCGGGAAGGTCATGGTGCTGCTGGAGCTGGCCGCATGTGTGGCTTCAGGTAGGTGTTCCACCTGCATTGTGAAGTGTGTGGACCCAGGTAAATGTTCCACCTGCATTGTGAATTGTGTGGTCCCAGGTAGTTTTTCGACCTGCATTGTGAAGTGTGTGGTTCCAGGTAGGTGTTCTTCCACCTGCATTGTGAAGTGTGTGGCCCCAGGTAAATGTTCCACCTGCATTGTGAATTGAGTAATCCCAGGTAGGTGTTCCACCTGCGTCGTGAATTGTGTGGTCCCAGGTAGGTTTTCCACCTGCATTGTGAATTGTGTGGTCCCAGGTTAGTGCTCCACCTGCGTCGTGAATTGTGTGGTCCCAGGTAGTTGTTCGACCTGCATTGTGAAGTGTGTGGTCCCAGGTAGGTGTTCATCCACCTGCGTCGTGAAGTGTGTGTCCCCAGGTAGGTTTTCTTCCACCTGCATCGCTCTCAGGTAGCTCTCAGTACATGTCTGATCAGTTTTAATGACAAACCATGCTTATATCCATTTGTAGAGTTGTGTCATACATATTAGACAACCACTAAATCCTATATATGCATTTTAAAATTATTTATTTTATATTAATTTCCTAATGTCCAACCCGCTTTTACAACACAGATTTATTTCACCAACTACAATGAAAAAATAAATATATTACGAAGCAAACGCACTTGCGATATTTGAAAATTTAAAAAAAAAATTCTGATCAGCAACGAAGTTTCAACTCGATACTTTGACAAGAAGTGGGTCAATTAGCCGTCCGAAGATTTCGCAACCCAGCCAAAAAAACAAAAAACAACAAACACAATAACAAAAGCGAAGCATTTCTGATAAAGGATTTAAAAAAATGCTATTTGTTAAGCAAAGAAAGCATCAATTAGATCTCCAATGTAAATGAAGATATAATGATTGATATAATTATGTAATATATTATATAACTTACTTTCAAAAATTTTGTTGTACTCTGTGTTTCAGCAATTGGCTCCGACTCCTATACTCTCTACTCTTGTGATCCGGACAAGAAGGTAATGTTGGAATAATCGGCTATCGTTTTCGCTTTACCATCATGTCGTTGCTTCATATAACACGTCCTCAATAAAACACTGGCAGCACGTAACACATTAGGTTTTGCCTGTTATCTTTGTTTGTTTGTTTTGTTGTTTGTTGTTGTTTTTTGTTGCTGTTATGGGGAGAGTCAAGACGGTTGTTGATTTTCTGGGCTACAAATAATTCTTGTCAAATACGGGGTTGAAATACCCCACAATTTTTGCTGCATTTGGTTACTTTTGGCCCTTGTTACCAACGAAACATTTTAATTTCAGCTATTCGGCATACAACTTGATAGTCGTTAATATTTTTATTTTCCCCCTTTTTTTCAGGAGATGATTCGGTTATCAAAAAATGAAATGTAAGTCATTCAAATTTAAAGACAAGCTTCCCATTTCAATCCTATTTTTTTCATATTACACTATCAGATTTGATGCAAACACATCGCTTAATTTTAAACTCACTTACGCCTTACGTCTTAATTAGTTCATGTTTCGATTCTAGCGGTGAGGTGGTGTTCGGATCCAAAGAGCAGATAATCCTGGGTACTTCGGTGGCAGCCGCGGTGGCGTATTCCAAAGAACCAACACGGTTGCAGGACTTGTTAGAAGTGAGTTGTACAAGTCTCATAAGTCAATAAACTTTTTTTTTTCCTTCTTTAGTTATTTTTTTTTAAAATTAATGTATTCATTATTTTTTGTGTAGATACAATGGGGATTATGGAAAGTACAACAAGGTGCGGTGCAGCTTGACATATGGCTAAACAACTTATCGCCAGCTTTAGATAAAAAATAAACAATTGAACAAGTCGTATTTAAGTTTCCAGCTTTGAGGGGAACCTAATGTTTTTTGGGGGGTTCATTTCTAGTTCTCTAATGAGATCTGTGTCGTGATGTAGACAAGAAAAAGTATATTTAGGTATGAAAATCGAAACCATAAAAGTACGAAATCTTACCTGAGATCCGGTGATGGGTGTATGACTCCTACGGTTAGTACGCCCACCCGCCCTCACTCCCCCAGAATAGGTTTTGTAAAGGTTTCATTTAAAGTGCGTCTGCCTCTTCACTGGTTTCATTTACAATCTGCCACTTCACTGATAGCCACAGATGGAAAGCTTTTTAACACACACGATCTATTCAATCCATCACTTCATATCCCCTTCACAATTCATTATTTTTTGGTCTAACGTTACGATTCAGGCCCTGGAATTAGGCAGCTTCATGTTTTTCTTCTCTTTTCTTAGCTCACCCAATGTATACACTAAGCGCATTAACCTCTTTGAATGCCTTTCAGGTACGACAGCCCGAGGTCCTCGGAGTCAGTGACAGTACGGCTGAATCCCTCATGGCACTGCCTATCTTAGATGATGCCGACGTTTGTTTTGGTAAGATAACGTCTTTGACCAGGCAGTGGCGGAAATTTTGTGTGACAAAAAAAAAAAAGGGACGGGGTGCGTGGTCTTTTTATCTTTAAAAAAAAAAATTGTATCATCTTTCCAGATGAGCTCTTCCTATTTCATGATGAGCCGCTTTTGGCTGAATTGTTGATCATAAATGAGTTGCCTGCTGAATCCCTCATGGCACTGCCTATCTTAGATGATGCCGAAGTTTGTTTTGGTAAGAAAACGTCTTTGACCAGGGAGTGGCGGAAATTTTGTGTGACAAAAAAAAAAAAGGGACGGGGTGCGTGGTCTTTTTATCTTTAAAAAAAAAAATTGTATCATCTTTCCAGATGAGCTCTTCCTATTTCATGATGAGCCGCTTGTGGCTGAATTGTTGATCATAAATGAGTTGCCCTTACTTTGCACCACGAACCAGACGTATACGTATAGTAAACAAAAACAAAAATGGATTCCTTGCCCATTAAACGAGTCGAATATTTTATTGTTATCGATGCCCCCCCCCCACCCCGGGGATCTGGTCGACAAGTCTGTGGTGGCTTGCCGACTGGGATGCGCCGGCCACCGAACACCTCGGCGTTACCCGGGGAACAAGAAGGGGGGTTGCTTGGGGGAGGGCATAAAGAGAATTAGCTCGACGGCCCACTGACGCCATGTTTTAATGTGAAATTGTTATCGATGTCTCAGAAAATAAATACTGCGATGCGTAGAGAGAAAAATGGCTTCCGACGAGGGAATTTAAAAAAAAAAATTAAAGTGTTCATTTGATTTGTGATGATTGTATTCTCAGCGCTGAGGTGTTTGAATGATTTATAAGTCCCCAATGATTGGTTGGACGTGTGTTTTTATTCGCCAGTTAATGGCTTCTGTCTGTTCGAAGAGCAGACACAGAGATGAATAGGGGAAAAGGTGGGGCAGTGGGTGTGAGTAGTCGGACTAGTTAAGTTGTAATCGAATGCTATGTTTGGTAATCGGAAATGTTAACTTTGTTACATTCAGATCTATGTTGTTCGGAAATCATGTCGTGTACTCGATTATTCCATTGTTCCCATTGTTTCTATATTACCTGCAGGTGTTGTAGAGTTTTATCGACAAACCAAAAACAGCAAGTTCACAGACGAGGAGGAAGAGGTAGACCCATATTTCACAATTATTAAATTACAATATTGTTTATTGGAAAACCAGTTTCTATGAAGTACAAAATCTTTGTCAAGATTCATAACATCTGGAACACTGGTCCTTCAGACATCTGGAACACTGGTCCTTCAGGCATCTGAAACACTGGTCCTTCAGACATCTGAAACACTGGTCCTTCAGACATCTGGAAAACTGGTCATTCACACATCTGGAACACTGGTCCTCCAGACATCTGGAACACTGGTCCTTCAGAAATCTGGAACACTGGTCCTTCAGACATCTGGAAAACTGGGCCTTCAGACATCTGGAACACTGGTCCTTCAGACATTTTGAACACTGGTCCTTCAGACATCTGGAACACTGGTCCTTCACACATCTGGAACACTAGTCCTTCAGACATCTGGAACACTGGTCCTCCAGCCATCTGGAACACTGGTACTTCAGGCATCTGGAACACTGGTCCTTCACACATCTGGAACACTGGTCCTTCACACATCTGGAACACTGGTCCTTCACACATCTGGAACACTAGTCCTTCAGACATCTGGAACACTGGTCCTTCAGCCATCTGGAACACTGGTACTTCAGGCATCTGGAACACTGGTCCTTCACACATCTGGAACACTGGTCCTTCATGCATCTGAAACACTGGTCCTTCATGCATCTGAAACACTGGTCCTTCAGAGATCTGAAACACTGCTCCTTCAGACATCTGGAACACTGGTCCTTCAGACATCTGGAAACTGGTCCTTCACACATCTGTGACATTGTTCCTTTAGACGTATGGAACACTGGTCCTTCAGACATCTGGAACACTGGCCCTTCACACATTTCGAGCGCTGGTCCTTCACACATCTGGAACGCTGGTCCTGCAGATATCTGGGACACTGATCCTTCAGATATCTCAGGGGGGGTGGGGGGACCAAGAACTTTAAATATTTTTTTTTAATGCACGTTTGTTTTCGCGATGTAAATTTTATACTCAACCGGGTGCAGGTGCCCCAAAGACCTCGTTACTTGGTCTATTCTGCACCAGATGCTAAAATGATTAAGAAGCTTACAAAAATTAAGCAAGGGGTCATGTTAAATTGGAAAAAATGAATATCGCAGTCTGGGTGGATTATATTCTATTTTGTGATAACGTATCTAACACGAAGTCAAACAATAAGGCCGAGGCAACCACACAATGATACTATAACAGATAACAATAGACTTGTATCATATTCACGACGTTTAGTAAACGAATGCCTATCCTTTGTATAATATAGGATTGAGAGTAACAATCAAAATGTCCACAAGGCTGCTATTGTGTCACACCTGTCCATTGCTCGGGTGAACTAAAATTAAGAGCGTTTAACACAGCTCAGGTGATAGCACCGTCACCAAAGCAGACACTACAAATCCATGCATTGTCTGGTAGGGTGACACCCTGACATGCCTGTCAATATTTCAGATTTGCATGTTGCTTTCTAATCCACTCCAGTTGTTTTTTTTCAGGTGTCCCTATCATTTTCTTTTTACCTTATCAGTAGCTATCAGCCATGATATATGTTCACCAAAAAAATGCATCAAACAATGTATGTGTGTTTTTTTAATGTTGACATTTATACACTAGGTGGCCACCCTCATGTTGCAGTGGTATGATATGCTCGTTGATTATGTGGAGGTAATTTTATACCAACCCCCCCCCTTTTTTTTTTCTACTAACCTCATACATTATAAAACAATATTTTCAATAATCTTATAAACTTTACCCAAC